AATCCACAGTGTAATTACTCTCTACCCCAGTATTTTGTCCACTGAACTATGATGTCAGAAATCGCAGCTTGATTTGTTTTTAACTGTGTAATCCATTAACTGTTTCCATATGCCAAACTGTTCAGTTGAGAAATATTTATAAACCACTTTATTGGCCCTATCTGGCAAATACGATGCACCTGTTATAAAATGTGATTACTTCAGGAAGCTAACAATTGTGGAATCACATTTTCATAATAAATCGGTCTAACTGAATTAGACAATTCATATACTTTCAGAAAGCCCTTTAATCCCTATTAAGTTAACAGTTTGTGAATAATGAAAGTAATTAATATTAATTTTAGTTGATAAATCCAACACCAATAACCTGTTAGTATACTTTAATCTATTTTCCAACAGCCTGTAAAAATTAACCAACAGATGCTTCCAATCTGGTAAAAAATACACAGGTCATTAGCATCATTCTGATGATACCAAATGTTCAATATACAAATATTGTGATTAAATATCAAAGAGATATTATAATGTTCTTTTCTAACCTTGTTAATTCTTAACAGAAGCCAAAGACCATAAAATACATCATTCTTTTCTAAATTCAAAATCAGCATTTATTGCTCCACTCCTCATTCTTGAACTTGACTGAGTCTCATTGAGACTCTAAAAGCAACATGAAAACAGGAAACATGCCTGCCTTTCTCATTCGTGTCCCCAGTTTTAAACAATACGAGGCCTGACATACAACGTATACCCAATAAATATCTGTTGACTTCAATATGGATAGACAAATACAGGAAAGAGAAAAAGTGGGATGGACTGAGAGGAAAAATGAGAAAAAGAAACAGAAAAAGAAAAATGTTCACAGGTTATTTTCAGAAGGATTTAATATATGGAAAGCTAAGACATATCTCAAAAACTTAGAACTGAGAGACACAATGAAACCAAAATGAGATACTTAAATAGAAAAAGAAGGCATTTAAAAGCTTCAAGTGAGTTAGGAACAAATGTTGATTTCACAGGAAAAGTTTTTTTTGTTTTTCTTATTTTTCTCTCAATGAGGAAAATGCAGTTACTAAGGAAAATAAATTTTAAATACCATATTTTGCTTTAGATGTTTTGGCTTTTCCAGATTTGTTTACTAAAGTGAATAGGCGGGGTCGTCATCCCAGGAAATCCAGGGAAACCTCTGTTAAACCTGAAACTTCTCCTTTGGCTAATGGTTTGCTGATGGATGGGTGTATCCTTTGGCATCTGATACTCGCTGTCCTTTCATAAAACGCTTTCCTGGTTCATAGATGTTCACTTCGACCATTTTTCCCATGAATGTGGGGTTCTTTGGCACTAAAACCTTTTCATAGAATTGGTTGTGTGCAACATAAAACTTGGAATCAAAAGATTCAATGTTACTAACATTGTCCTTCACCAATCTTAAACTTAGAGAAAGGTTCCTGTATTCCTTCAGATATGACACTGGCACTTTCCAGCTGAAGCAATCTTACAGATGTCACAGGGAGATAAGCTTCAAAAACAAAATAAGTAAAATCAAACTGAAAAAAAAAAGGCAAAGAGATGTAATGAAGAGCAACATGAATAAAGAGGAATGTGCAAGCTCTCACCAAGAACATCGTGCAATATCTAAGAGAGGCTGGGGCAGGGTGGGATTCGGGAGAGTGAGACCCATTTTGCAAGAGAAAACCTCAGGAGAGAAGTGATACAGATTAAACAAGGTAACAAGAGGACGACCCAGCTCATGGACCAGTATACCACAGGGGGTCTAGAGGCGGTGTAAGTCCTTCTTCCTTTACTAACTCTCCGGGTACAAGAACTCTGAAACCTAAAAGTCCCAGAAACTTGAAATACTGCCTTCTGTAAGAAAAAAGTACCTTGTAACAAAAAATAAAAAATGTGTAACAGAAAATTTTAAGGTTCTATTTAAATGACTGGAATCAGCTCCGCTTTCTTCGCCCCTATTTCAAATGCTTAGCATGCACAACGGGTTGGCATCTACCATTTTAAATGCCTGGGAAGGAACATCTACCTCTGTAATCAGAGAAATCGCCTTCGTTCCTCTTTTTAAAAAAATTAATTTATATCCCCTTCACCTGTTTCTCAAACACCACCCCACCCCCACTGTCCCCCTCTGGCAAACCGCCAGTCTGTATGCATGAGATTTTCTTTCTTTTTTTTTTTTTTTAAGATTCCACATACAAGAGAGCACATATTATTTCATTTAGCATAATACCTTTGAGGTTCTTCCATGTTGTCAAAAATGCCCCGATTCTTGGTCAAAAGAATTACTAAAAAAAAACAAAACAAAAACAACAAACAAACAAAAACCCTCAGAGAAACCAATTTCTCTAAAAACCCACAAAACACTGGCCATCTGAATCCTTTGAGCCTCCCTGCCAAGTTGTGAGGCAAACCAGTGATGAAAATCAACCAGCAGAGAAGGCCTCTACTTTTCCCTTTGTGCTATGGAGTGGAGAGCAACTATATTTCTACTTTGCACTGAACAATAAATAAGTGACTAGCTTTAATTTTGAATTCTGCAGAAATTACACAATTGACTCAAAGAAAGTAACCTTTGGAGACATAAGGGGCTGGTAAATGTTAACATTTGGACCTAGTGCTTCAGCATCCACCCCCTGAACAGAGGCCCGAAAGAGCCACCTGTCCACTCCACCAGCCCCTGGTCCTGTCTCAGCTTCCCAGACAGCGTTCTCATGCCTTCCTTTCTCATCTTTGCTAGAAAATAGAAAATACCTATACAGAATCCTGACTTTCTGACAGCAGCAATAAATGGCCTTTTCCAATAAGGCAGGACTATTAGTCATGCCTAAATAAAGCACTCTCAATTGAGGGTCCTCAACTAATGCTTACTAGGAATTATTCTTTAAAACTCAGACCAAAAAAAAAAGTCACATTTACAGCCCATCTCCTGTTGGCACTGTGAAGTGTTGGGATTGCCCAGGGCTACAATCCTGGGCTTCCCTATCTTTTCTATTCACCATGGAGATACCATCCACAGTCACAGAAAAAAGAAGGTACCATTTAAAGTGAGAAAATAGAAGTCATAGGCTTCTGCCAGTCTCCAAGTCAAAAGAGAGAGAGATTCAGGGCAGAGGGGACAGCATGTACGGAGACCAAGAGGGATGCAAGTACATAATATTCAGAAAATGCTCATCATTTCCTCACCTTAACCTCTACAACTGGTGTTAGACTGAGCAAATACAGTGGTTTTTTTCCAACCTTGAATCTCAAGGCTAAAGTTAGATGACTTAAGAATTTTTTAAAGGTTCAATTATTTCATTTAGGGCTAACACTGCAGCTAAATTAAAGACATGCTAACAAGTTTCCCTTTTGAGCCTCATTAATTAAGAAAGTAATCAGATAAAGATGGGAAAAAAAAGGAGAGTAGCTGGATGGCAGTATTACTTAAACAGCTTTTGGGTACCTCCATTTGCACCTACTAGGAAAGCAAAGGGAAAAGTAATCAATTCCAGATTATGAAATCTGAAATTCTGAAGTCTTTTACATGCAAATACATTTTAACTGCCATATATTTGCCTTGATTGCCTAAAGAGTACACTAATTTTATTCAAAGAAAATCCTGATTCTCCATAATCAAAAGGTACAATTAAGACCTGCTTACTTCACAAGATTTCCTAGGGTAAGTTTGCAGAGAAAATTCCCCATTTTCAAAGATCAAAATATATCATTTTTACTATTTTGGTCAAAACCAATAATGCTCATAAATACCTGCTAAAGACTTTGGATTTAGCACACATTCTAGAAAACCACCTTAATTTACAATTACCTTTTAGTGTACCTAACTTACAATTATTTTTTAGAAAGAGTGTCTAATTTACATTTATATTTTAAAAAGCATTTCAAAGAAACATAAATGATTTTTTATTTTTTTGGTATCAATGAACATCCCTGAGCTGCTGTGACAATCAAGTTAAAACAAATACATAAAGCATCTAGTGTGGTGCCTCGCACACAGTAGGCATTTTAAGAAATCAAGACTTCCCATCTCCATTCAGTACAATCACGCCCCTCCAGCTCTCTCTCCATGCTCCATGAGCCCAGGGATATAAAGAATATAAGTCTGTGGGTCCCTTCTTGAAAATTAAAGGTAATCACTGATCTAAAACCAATCATGATCTATAATAGTTAAAAATTAAAGTTGTCCAAGAACATGTATGAATGACTCATGGACACTGACAATGGGGAAGGGACTGACTGTGGGCAAGAGGGGTGGGCTGAGTGGAGGGGGGTAAAAGGAAACAAAGAGAAATTGGGACAACTGTAATAGAATAAACAATTTTTTAAAAAAGTATAAATGGGTATCAGCCTTAAAACAAGTGATGCTGACCTAGGAAATTGATGAAATAAAATACAATTTACAGACAAGAGTGATATCTAAATATAATTGTTTTATAAAAAATCAAAATTACAAAACAATTTTAAAAATAAATTCCATTACTTTTAATGAAAAGATCTTATAACTTACCCATTTACTTTTGTTTCACACAAACTTTTAAAATACTCTTTAAAACTGCTATTTCTATCTCATATGATTCATACTAATTAAACTGTGTGACAGTCCTTGTAATACTAAATATTAAAATCTGACTAGAGGAAGGCTCACATTTTGCTTTTGTTTATACTATTCCTCATTGACAAAAAAAAATTTTCATGACAAAATTCTCTCTAAAATTATGTTCCTTTATGAAAATCTAACTTAGAACACCTTCAAAAAATGTACTATATAGAAATTTAAGTTTTGTCTCAATCATCTGCGTTTTAAAAATTGCTTATTTGATATTCTAACAAAATTTTCTTCATAAAGATTTCTTTTTAATAAATCATGTATTTATCCATTAATAAAGTAAAAATATACCTAGGACTCTTAAAATAATGCTTTTTGGTAGTTAATACATAAAAAGTGGCCATGTTAAAATATTAAAATACAAAAAGAACCAAGATATTAAACTTACCTTTTTGTTGGCAACAAAATGTATTCTCAAGTTTACAAAGCAAATCCACATTTTCATACTTGTTTTCATTTGCTTTTATCCAGAAACAGTTTTCAGTCATTTCTTGAGGTCTGATCTGCAATCAGAGAGAAGAGTGATTCATAAATAGATGGGTGTTTTCATCTGTCCCAGAGCAACCATTACTTTCTGACCCTGTGGCCCAAAGCCGCCAGCCAATGTTTGTGAAGTAATCCCTGTATGATTTTTCTCCAAACTGTGTTCAACCAAACACAATTTCTGCAGGAAGTTAAACTTTTATTAGGGAAAAAGTTGAGGATTGAAGCTGAATGAAATGAAGTTTGTTTCTCCTCAATTATATTTCTCATAGTCTTTAACAATGCTCGTGTGCACTATAACTCTTCAAGCCCAAGATACATTACACAGCATTTCCCAAGGTTATGTAACCAACTAACATTGACTCCCACCAAATATATAAACTAGAAAGCCTTAGTCGAGAGCAAAAGGCTTTGTTTCAACATGTACAAGATTTTTTTTTTTTAAAAAAGGCTGTTTATTTAAAATCACTTTGAATAGGGTTCTCATTGGAAATTATACATGTTAAAACAAAATTAAATCTTGATTTAGGTAACAATATGTTTTCTTCCACTTATTTATTTATTTAATTTATTTAATTATTATTTTAATATTTTTACCTTTAGCCAGTTAAATCTTCTCATACTGAGTTCAGGTTTAAATTCTTTCTTTGGTTTTAACCCAAATGGCAGGGTAGGTGGAAGGGAGTTTCCACCACCCAGAAGTCCCAGGGGAGGTGGTGGAGGCACAGGACCACCGAGTGGCAACGGCATTCCTGGTAGTGGAGGGGGTGGAGGGGGCGGAGGAGGCGGAGGGGGCGGAGCAGGGGGTGCCACAGGCGGAGGAGGTGCTGGGTGCCCAGTTTCATTTTCTTTTGACAGCGGCAAAGAGGTATATATATCAGCTGGCAAGGCACCAAACTAGAGATAAATAAAAAAAACAAACAAACAGACATGACTAAGAACACTCTGCAGAACATGTAAAAATACACTTTCCTTAAAAATAATGTATTATTTTAAATAAAAAAAATAGAATATCAGTAATTTCATGTGGTTTAACCTAAAAATTCCAGTGGTTTACTCCCAGTTTAAGAATTACAACTTTTCATAAAAATGTTATCCGAAGAAATATTCTCCATGTTGAGGGAGTCGTGACCATCCAGGTAGAGACGTCGAGGAGGGAAATGGGTAGATGGATCTAAAGATGTGAAAATCAGCAGATTCTAAGTGATGGTTAAAGCCATGGGAAGTGGAGTTCACCTAGGTACAGAGTATGGAGCAGGAGGAAAGTTCTATGTACAGAATTCTGCAGAACACTGGCATTCAAATAAGTTTAAAAAAAAAAAATCCAGGGACTTAACTAGTATTGCCACAACATGCCTTTGCCCTTAAGGGAAAAAAAACAAAAAACAAAAAAATCCTACAATTCTTAGTAGGACCTCCAAAGACATGTTGTGATCTGGAACAGGTCAAGTGACTTGCCTCTACCATTCTATGCATATACCAACCTCATTTCAGTTTCAGGTTCCTGGCACATGTTGTTCCTTGCACCTGGAACATCCTCCTCACCCGTACCTTTCAATCTTAGCTATCACATCCCTTTCTCAGGAAAGCCTTATCTGACCACTCATTTCACACGAATAGTACCTTTTACTTCTCCTCAACAGCTCTTACCAAGAGTGTTTCATAACCATTTACGGAATCATTAGCATTTATTTTTTTGATAGATTATAACTCTATGAGGGAAGTAACTATGCTTGTACAACTATTTTTTCCCCAGCACCTGATGTTGTGACTGGCCAATGACAGCCACTGAAGAAATATGTGTAGGGTAAATGAATTAAAGACAAGAGGGAAAAAAAGGCAAGCACAGGGTCATAAGTCAAAAGTGAAGAGAGTTAACCCCCGTCCCCTAAAAAAGGGTATTCTACAGCATCAGATGTCACACAGAAGCAAGGTAAAATCAGGAGTGAAGAAGAGACAAATATGGACACTTTCTATCCTTATGTTCCATGGCATTGTAAGAATTTAATAAATGTATTTTGATTGTCATAAAGAAGTTCTGGGTTCATAAGGAATTTTTGTGATGTGATTATTTTCCTGAAGTTATTAACTTCAATCCTGAGCCACACACATACATGCATATAAACTACCTTGCAAACGGTACACATTCAATAAGTGTTAATTAATCATTTTCCGTTTTATGGCACAATTATGAGAAGTAGATCATGTATAAAAATCTGAAATTGACATCTCAGATCAGTACAAAGAAAAACTGTCATAAAAACTGAAACCACAAATTAAAGAATATGCCTTATCAAAAATATTAGTGTTATTCTGGGTTGCTGTGATCTTGGATAGCACTGCCCTTTGAATGTTAAGGATGTATGTATACTAAAGCCACACTCAATGCACATTTTGCAGTAAACTATTAACACCTTAAAGCAAGGCTCTGGTTGGATTTCTGCTCTAGACTGGTTTATTTGATAATACGGTTGACCTGAAATATGTTGTTCATGATGCCAGACACTGTGACTATCTTGCTCACCATTATATCCCCCACATCTAAAAATGCTTGGTTGTTAAGTGACTAAATAAATGAAATCAAAGATAATCGAGCATATTTTACTCATAACCTTCATAATCAGCACAGCTTTCATCAAAGTATCTTGAGACAAATGCACAGATTTCACAAGAAACACACATTAATTCGAAGAAAGAATCTGTCAGTTGTTATTCAAAAATGAATATAGTGGCCAATATTAAGTCCCTAATTCCAGACCTTCTTTTGATAGCCATAAAAACATGTGACATAATTGTCCACAATTTTTACAACATAGGATTTAATCTGTTTCAAAATATAAATTTATTACCATTTTATATAAAGGCACAGGCAGCAATAACATATCCAAAGATGGAGAATATGTTTTTTGGAAACTAGAACTTTCTAGAGTACATTTATAAGGAACCCTTCAACTGGGAGAAATTAAAAAGAAAAGAAAGTCTTTAAATTTATATTAGCCCAGATCAGGAAAAACTTTTGATAAATATTTCAACCATTGTCTATAACTCTATCTGAAATATAAAACACAATCAAATGTTCCTTTTAATGCGAAAGACAAAGACCACCTGGGAAACATAAGAAATTTAATAAACTGTTATTCTGTGCACTAAAGAAAAAAAGAGATAATTGAGAATAATTTAATTGTAGGTAGGAGCTTTTAATTTTTTTCATTGAACACTACAGAAAACTCTCCTTAGGGTATCTTCAAACAGCCTTTGTATCAAAACTATCTACTAAGTATCTTTTTAAGAATTGCCAATAATATAGGAAATAGTATATCAATATACAAAACAGTATGCCTGAGACCATTTCAACATAACCATAAATTAGAATAAGGGGAAGATAGTAAAATGATACTAATTGCTCATCGTCCTATATATAAATCTACAAGAAGAAATTAAGCGATGAATATTCTACCTCCCTATCTTCATCCATTTAAAATATGTAGATGATGTATTTCTTGCTCCCTAAAATGTTTTATGTGTAGAGGGTGTATGTGAGCTATCTGCTTCACAATCCAGATTTGCGCGCTCTCTCTCTTCCTTTTTTTTTTTTTTTTGTCATGTTTTAAATCTGTTTACTTTTGGAAATTGAAAAATTATCAGAAAATGTTCTCATTCAGCTAGAGGTTATCTTCCACTGCAAGGTACCCATAGTCTGAAGGTGTTGAAAAATAAATAGCTAGAGCAATAATTTCCTGTAGTAGGATAAAGATCAGTGATGAATGACAAACTTAAGATGAAAAGAATTTTTACTCTTCATGCTTAATTACTTAGGAAATATGACATTATGAACAAAACCCAAATGAAACATAAGGAAGCAGATCGGTTAGTAAAAGTTTAAACATTCCTAAAAATGCAAATTGAAAAAAGTGGCAAAATAGTTTAAACATGTTGATGCTATGAAGATATTACAAGACCTTTGATTCCCCAGTAAGCTTTCAATACTGAAGTTCACTCTGGATAGACTGTATTTTACCTGAGATTTAAAAGCTTGTAACTCTGCTTGAAGCTCATTAATCTTTGCCTCTTTTTTCTGCAATTGAGCCTGTGTTTCTTGATGGTCGGCAAACTCTTTTTCAAACTGAAAAGAAAAAAAAAAAGGAGAGAGGAGGAGAGAGGGAAATAAAAAGTACTATTTATAGAGAAATATGACTCTAATCATCTGTCAGTAGAACATAAACTTTTATGAAAGGAATGGTAGATTTTTGCTAGGTCACCCGCAGCCTTTCTCTTAAGTCCCCCCAAATCATTTGCAAGCAGGCAGACAAAGCCAGGGATGGAGTGTGTGACCTTCTCCTCTCAGCAGAGGAAACTGGCCCATAGTTATCTGCAACCCTGGCATTTTTCTTAAAAGTCCCTAAATATCATCGTGACTTTGTATAAAATAACAGAGAGAAAAGCATTGTACTGAGTTCTCTGACCTCTACCTGAAAAAATGTGTACTTGAAACTTACCTAAAGTTTATCAATATGACTTAAAAGAATTCCATATTAATATGTTTTATTAATACATAACTCTATTATATTAAAGCAACAATTTAAGAGGACAAAGTCTGTTTTATTTATTATTAGTCTGTTGGAGAATAATCTTTGGGAGATTAAGGATAAATTAATCTTTCAAGTCCTTAGTGAGAGGAAAGTAAACGATAAAATTTGGTGAATCATATGAGTTTTCAAATTTATATAGCCACTCATCACAAGTTCCCATCTTGAAATTCAAATAGCTTACTAACATTATGACTGAAAACCCTCCTAGTAGAAGTAAATTTCCAACGGGGTGTTGTCTCATAATCATTAACAAATATTTGACTCTTTTAAAAAGGGGAGGGGGATCAATCAGTTAAAAAATAATGCAACGACTTCACAAATGTAGACTGAAATTTTCAAGCAGAGACAAACCTCAATAAGAAAAATAACAATAAAGAACTCAACAGTTTACAAAGGGCTATATGAATCTTATTCTGTCCTTAAGAAAAAGAGCCAGTTCTTACCATGCAACTAGTTGGTAAAAGATGTGAGATTAGAAACCATACTTCATGTTTTTAAAGTCTGAGTTATTTAGATGAAACCACACTACCTTCCTACAATTAATGTTTAAATCATGTTTTACAGCTTTTTAATAGTCTTTATTTTATTTACTTTTATTAGTATTTATCTTATGCTGAATTTACTCCTGGGCCATAAGCTTGTGTTTCTTCAGTTTCTTCTGGGATATCCTTTTCTTCTGTGCCATGTTCCCTTCTGGTTTAGGAACAATCTGAATCTGCTCTTCTATCAGGAAGGACCATCTCAGCGCTACAGGGAGAGCTGTGTAGGCGTTACTCTGCCCATGAGCTCTGTAAATTCTATGTATCATTTTGGGAGCTTTGTTCACCTGGATGTGCTCAATGACCAGAGAATCTACACGTAAACCCTTAAGCTCAGCATTACTCTCCGCATTTTTAAGCATGTGCAGCAAAAACTCAGCACTCTTGTTGGGCTCCAGCCCCACTGTTTGGCCTGGGCAAACCTACCAACTCTGCCATTGCAAGGATGGAGTGGTACACATTGCTTCTTGAAAGTGACATCTTTCAGATACTTGGTGGCTTTTCGAATATACATGCCCTTGATGGCCTGGGCAGTTTCAGGAGCGTTCTTAAAGAGAACACGAAGATTTGAACCTCTTGATTAGCGTAGTTTTGTGGGGTTTTCTGGGTCAAGTGAATAGCAAGCCATTTTCAGAGTTCAACACTAGTCAATTTTGGGAAGAGTAGGCTTTATTTTTAAAGCCAAAATAAGCACATGTGCACTTTATCACCAAAACAATGAAATAAGAAATATTATTACAATTCTCATTACAGGTCAGAAAAGTAAATCCCAGACTTGTGATCCTCTCACTCCAGCTGTCCTCTAGCTGTCGCACACACCAACATTACCACGCCTACCACCATTCCTACAGCAGCTCCTCCAAATCCTTCCTACCATTAATAATTTTTTTAAAAAATATGAATCTTAAATCTAATAAAATAACTAATTTACAAGCCGAAGCATGCTTAGATCGCAGAGGATAACGCAAAGCGCTCCTGTCACCGAGAGACTCCCAGGGACAGGCTAAATCAATTGTCTTTGCGCCTCTGTTGCACCGTGAACCTCTCTGGCCTTTTGTCCTTTTACTTACCCCAAATCACTATATTATTATTTTTGCTTCAAAGCCAACTTCTTTAAAGAGGGTTCTCACACCATGCTCACTTTTCTCACCCGTGACCTTCATTCACTGCATTATCCACTACAACTTAGTTATCATTCTTTCATCTAAAAACTACAGCTTACTTGTCCTGGTCAGGTTGCTCAGTCAGGGCACATACTTAGATTAGGGGTTCGATCCCAGATTGGGGCCTATATGGGAGGCAACCAATCAATGTTTCTCTCTTCTCCCTCTCTCTCTCCCCCTCTTCCTCTCTCTCTCTTAAATCAATAAAGATATCCTCATGTGAGGATTTTTTTTAAAAACTTCAAGAAAAAATAGAAACTACAGCTTAACAAATGTCAAATCACCTGGCCTTCTCCTAGCCTCATCTTACTTGATGTCTCCATAGCTGTGCTATTTAATAAGGTAGCCACTAGCCATAGGTGGCTATTAAAGTGTAAACTTAACTAAAATCAAATAAAGTTAAAATTTTAGGTGTTCAAACTAGTCATATTATAAGGACACAATAGGCACGCTTGATTGATAGCTACTGTGTCGAACAATATAGATTACAAAACATTATCATCATCCCTGTTCTAAAGCATAAATGCTTAAAAATATGCTCCTATGTCTGCATATTCAATCTCCCTTCCCCGGCATGTACCACGCAGCACACTCCTAACCCCGCCTGCTCCCACCAGTTCTTTGTGTTCCACCTCTGTAATGCTGTCATTGCACTGGACTCTTTCCTCACCCCTCTGCTGCACTCAGACCACATTTTTCATAAGATGCTATCTTCCACACCCATGTGCTTCAGTCACCATTCTTACACTAATGGCTTCCAAGTCCCTGTCAGTAGCTCAGCTTCTCATCTGAATTTCAGCGTGCACATCAGTCCATAAATGTATTTTCAACTGCTTAATGAATATTTTTCAAGATAAACACAAAAACAATATTCTCAAAACCAATATTATCTTCCCCCTACATTGTTTTTGAATGCTGCTGCTCTCTCTAAAGGACCTCTCTAATGACGTGTCTCTTTTGCCCTTAAACCCTCTTCACTGACTTTGTTGAAAAGGCAACACTCACTAGCTTAATATCTAAGAAACCTCTGGAATCTGGCCCTAAACTACCTATTTCCCATTATACAATAAATGGCTAATAGCACGCCTATGTGTAACCCTCTGAGTGGGAGGTGCCAAAGGTATAGAGTTGAATAGAATATGGTCATTGCTTTTAGTAAGCATAGCGTCTGATGACAAAGTACAAGCAAACAACCTAAAACCTGTAAAACTACTGGCAATAAAGACAGAGTTGGTGAATGATTCCTGGAAGGAGGATGTTTGATTCCATGTTTGAAAAACTTGAGTAGTTAGTAGAGAAGCACAAATAGCACTTCAAATAGAGGAACTAGCATTGGATGACAAGCAATCTCTTACAAGCGTGAGAGCAAACTGCAGGGGAAATTGTTGAAAAGGGTTTTGCAATAAGCCAAAATGTTTTTTCTTTTTCCTAAAATCCATGGGGAGCTATTAACATATTTATAATAAGAAAATAGCAATCAAATTTGCACATACAAAAACCCAACCAGCAGCAAGTGTGAAAGCACTGAAACAGAAATACTAGAGGCATGAAACGAGTTTAGGGGCTATGGCAGTAACCCAAGCAGGAACCGAAGGCCTGTCTGAATGAGGCAGAAGACAGGATAGTGGAAAGGAGATAAAGCAAAACGTTTTTACAGAATTCAAGAAAGTTAGTGTCTGAGCGAATAAAGGACATGAGTGAGGGACTATGTTTAAGATGACTATGGTTGGTGTTCTACAAGATGAGGATATAAAATGTAGGATGAGGATATATATGTTAGGGCATGAAAAGGTAACTTTGGTTTAGGAAAAGTTAAGCACCAGATACCTGCAAGAAATTCACAGTTTATGCATGGCTCCTCCTTGGTATCTCACCTCATTACCTCTCACTGATCCACCAGGGTTCACATTAGTTACCACTTCCCTGAGTAAGTCTTCCCTGGCCATCCAAGACCAAGTGAGGAATACAGTCAAACCTGGGTGCTCGAACACCTTGGTTATAGAACAATTCGGTTCCCAACCAAGTAGTTCATGGAAAAAAATGTCTCGGCTATCTAACAAAACTTTGGGTCTCGATTCTCTGCCCAGCAACCTTTTCATGCTGATACATGTATGATCAGTCACGTTGTCTCTCGGGTGACCAAGGAGATTTGATTTTTGAACAAATTGCTCCTCTAATGGTTTTCTGGAATAAATTAAGTTCGAGAACCAAGGTTCTACTGTACTTCATATAGGCTTACACACCACATAGGGTTTTTCATACTATAGCAATTATCACACTGTAATATAAAAATATTAAAATGTAGTATCACACACCTCAATAACACTCACTAACCTGGAAGTTCATCAATAATAAAAACCTTTTCTATTTTATTCCAAAGCTTTACACTTATAATTAAACTCCACATATCTCTGTTGAATGAACTGATGAGCCAATTCCTGTCCAATCTTCCTTTATGAGATAAATGACTAAGTCACTATCATATATTAAAGTCCCCCAATCTCCCAACATCAAAAACCTTTGAGAGGTCTTTTTCTCTATTCTCTTTTTGATGACTGCTCAGTTAGTATTTACTGCTGTGTAGCAAAAAATAATATTAAATTCTTCTTATGAGACTAAGGATGAAAATGTCTTTTCCATAATATAAATATGTACACTGTCATATTTCATAGGCCTTGAAATGAGATTCAAAAGAATAAAGCATCGTATAGGGGAAAAAAGATAAACTATCAAAACAACTAGGCATAATTAGTACACACTTAGAGAATTTAATAAATTAATTTGGCCTTGTAGAACATACCAGAGGAAAAATATCTAGATCCTCCCCTATAAAAGGATCAGACAAAATATAAGCTTTATTTCAGCATTTTTATATCTACAGACAAATCACAGTAGCCTTGGGGATAAAATGAATATCCATTAAAGACATACTTTATAAAAACTGATATGATAGCCTCCTTCTCCAAAAAGAGTTACTAGAGTAATATTATGCTTACAATATTACATGCAAAAATGTCAAGAAACACAGTTAAGGTTGAGGGTCTGCTTAATTTCATTCCCTAGAGTAAATGTATTAGTGCATCTGTACAAGAATGTTGATAATTCAATATTCTCTATGTACTTTCTGACATTTCTGGTCTTCATTTTTCAAATTTATGCACCAAAATAAAGAATGTGTCTAGCAACTAAGATAGCTTCCTGCCTAAAGCAAAGTATTTACATGTGTCCTTATAAAGCTATCAGAAATAAGTTCTTGCTGATATATACAAAATGGTATGGCAGTAGAAATCTTTTATGGAGCGAACAATATTTTCTGAATATTCCTAAGACACATAACTTTTACTAAATGGAGACAACTAACCTTGAACAAGGTCTTTCTTCTATTTACATTTAAAGCTTACAATTTTAAAACAGTGTAATAAGGTTATCATGTTTAACACCAATCATATAAACTATGTATCTAAAAATTATTGTAAAAGCAAATTTATACTATCTGGGATACATCCAAATCAAATACTTGAAAGTTTTCTACTACTTTCCCATAAAGAGTAAAAATTCTTACTAAGCTTAGAATATAAAATTGGAGGGGTGAGGGGTCACTCAACAGTACAGACATCTATCAACTGTAACAGTTATGACACTTAATTTAAATGATCCATTGTTTCTCCACTAGACTAGGTACTTCAGGGCAGCGGCAATATCATATTCACAGCTGTAATCCTAGCTGCAACCAAAGGCCTGAAACATAATACCCTCTCAGTGTATGTTCAGTGAACCTTAGGACATCTTAGGAAATTTACAAAGTTTTTCACAAGTTACTGCTAACTTATGAAAATGTGCCCTACCATTTGAAGTTACTTTTATTGTAAAAGTTTACAAAAATGTACAATTCTCTCAAGATACCTTTAGGGCCAGATGCAAAAAAAAAAAAAAAAAGTACTCTTTGCCATAGTGCCAAACACATAGTAAATGTTCAGTGGTAGTAGTAGTAATTGTTATTATTTCTCCAATGTAAGAAACCAGTCCTATCAATTCAAATCAGAGTACTACATAAAATGTGAAGAACACCACCCACAGCAAAAAACAAAACAAAACCAAGAGAACCCATAGAAAAAATCTAATAGGTACGTGCTAGGCAGAGACCAAAGCACAAAACGCCATCTTAAAGAAAAGCAATGAACAAATGACTGGCTGGTTAGCAATACTACTAGGCTGAAACAAATGAAATTGGCAGTATCTGATACTTTTCATCTGTGATATGAAAATGATAATTTTATATGGTTCAATCTGATCTAAAATGAAGCAACTTTAATCAAAACAATAAGCAAATTAACCTTTCTTTTAAAATTTCCAGATATACTTTCAGTCTTAGGCATCTAAATTATGATTTCTTAAGAAATATACCTATGTTAAAATTCTGACTCTATACATTTTGTTCAATTAGTCATTCAAAAATGTTCTTTTAGTTGTTAGGCCAGGATTCATTCTAGGTGCTGGGATAGCAAATAAAACAAAAATTCCCTCATAAAATTTACTTTAGAGAAATAGACAACATATTCATATATACACACACAAATATATAATAAACCATGTAGCATGTAAGATGACAAATACGACAAAAGAAAAACAGCATAGGGAGGGTCAGGCTTGGGTGTGGGAAGCTGAAATGTTTAAATATAATGATCTAGAAGTCCTCCTTGGAAGATGGTGTCTGTGCAAATGCCTCAAGGGGATAAAGAAGAAAGAGGGAACAACAAGCAAATGCTTTGAGGCAGATTCATACCTGCAGCGGTTCCCCAAAGAGTTTGCAAAGTTAGTCAAAGTTAAATTACTTACTTTCTTGTAAAATTCTGATGCTTTCTCTTCAGACTCTTCTACTTTCACTTGATCTATACAAATATCTAAAATTGCAAGAACAGGAAATTTTAAATTGCAGTACTTCTCAAATTCATTATAACTTTAAAAGCTCAGAAAGGAAAAAATGAATCATTGCAAAGATTTAGAACCATGTCAGTAATAAAATAAGCAACTCGGAGAAACATATTACAATGTTGGAATGAAGAATAACTTTCTAAACATATTAACAAGGCCATAAGACATAAAGGTTAAACCCTATCACAATTTTAAACTTCTACCAGGCGGATGGAGGAGATAGTTCAACTGTGACATACAATGCTCAAAGGTTTCTATCATCAGTCCATACATATTTTGAAGAAAGCAGAGAAGATATCCAACACAAGATAGGAAAATTGGCAATAGTAATAAACAGAAAATTAAGAATAACAAGTAAAAATTGCTCAAATATATATTTTATTTTCCCTGGTAGTATGAAAATATAAAATATTTGATGAGAAATATAAAGATTAAGTGATCTGCAATGTCGAATTTGGAGGTGGCACAGAGAAACCAACTTGCCAACACAATAGAAATGTAAATAAGAATCTTCACTAATGAAAAACTAGGCAATATGTACTAAAATTTAAAATATGAACTTTTCTTACACACAGCAATTTTATTTCTAGGACTTTGTCTTTAAGGATGAATATTCATTAAAATATTTTTTATGTTAGGAAAAAAATAAAAATTAATGCCCATGAGATCAATTAAATGAGTTATGATATATGAGGTTTGTCCAGAAAAGTACCCAGTCATATCATATGAAAACAGAGGCACTAATAGAAGATACAAGAAACATTTCACATAGGACAAGGATGCCTCAGTTCCCTTCAAAATAGGCAACTTAGTACCTCACACAGTTCTCCCAGCATCTCTTTCACTGCTCAAAACAATCTGCAAAATCCTTTGTCGGATCACCATCAGCACCCTGTTGTATTTTCCTGAATTTTATCGATGGTCTGAAATCTCCTCCCTTTCAAAGGTGATTTTAGTTTTGGGAAAAGCCAGAAGCCACAGGACGCCAAATCTGGGCTGTAGTGGGGCTAAGTCACCTGAGCAATTTGATGTTTCGCCAAAAACCTCTGCAAGAGACATGATGCATGAGTGGGCATGTGGTCGTGATGAAGCCGCCAATCACCAATTGCCCATAGTTGCAGCTGTTTCCATCTTATTGCATCTTTCAAATGACAAAGAACACCGAGGCAGTGTTCCTTATTAATTGCTTGGCCTGGAGGTTTATACTTGTGATGGACAACACCTTCTCAATTAAAAAAAAAACACAGTTACCATGGTATTGATCTTGCTATGACTTTGCCACGCCTTCTTCAAGTGTGGAGAACCAGACAACATGCACTGGAACAACTGGGCCTTTGTTTCTGGATCATAGCCATAGACCCACAATTCATCTCTGATTGTAACCTCCTTGAGGAAAGCTGGTTCTTCGGTAGCAGTTTGAATCGAGTCATAAGCAACTGCAGAATGATGTTTCTTTTGCTCTGGTAGCAGATGCCACAGAATGAATTTTGCCATGACAAGCTTCATGCCAAGATCCTGCATCAAAAATCTCAAACACAGTAGATTCTCAAATCCCCAGATCAGCTTCTAGTTCTTACATGGTCAGTTGCCAGTCCTTGTTGATTGCAGCCTGTACATATTCAACATTCTCAGGTGTTCTTTTGTTGCTGGCCTTTCAGAACATGGATCACTTTCAACCGATTCTCAACCATCTTTGAAGCGTTTGTGCCACACTTTTATTTGCACCGCACTCATCGCATCATCCCCAAAAGCCTTCTGAATCATCGGAATATTTTCACTGAAGAATGTTCAAGCTTAATGCAAAATTTGATGGAGATTTGTTCTACTCAATCAGCCATTTTTAACATGACAGCCACTCAGTACACATGCTCTGTCAACGGAGTCGATCGCCCCCACTGACTAGTATAGTGAAGTCATCACTGTCGGTGCAAGTGCATTCCAGTCCGCTCTCCTTGGCTGCCAGGTTACACCGATGTCACACAAACTGCTCTTGTTATATTAACAATGGCTGGACTTTTTCCAGACAAACCTCGTATGTTCACATGATCGGATACTACGGCAGGAAAAGTGATTTATATAGATTTCCCATATTGTATTTTATCCCTCCTTTCACATGTTTAATGAAAGTAATAAATGAATATGGCTTTAAAAAACATTATAGAAGAGCTAATAATAAAAAGCAATAGTGAACCAAATCAACTGTATTAAAAACTGAACCCCACTTCTTCAATGGGACCTCTCAAAGCCCTTTCTGTTTTAGATTATTCTGGTGGTTAGTTTCTTAACTTTAAATAAAATGTCCATATCATTATTTCTTGACTTATCTATTTAAGACATAATACATAACTTCCTGCTACGTTCTAAGTTGCCTGGTTCTATAACACTAAATAAATATTTAAACCTCTGATTCCTATTACATAGACAGTATCTCTTGATTTTCACTCTAATACCTAAAGTTATCTATGCCATATACTTTCCAACATCTATCTCCCGAACTGCCCAACCTTGTGTCTTCTCTCATCTTTTCATATCAACATTCTTCTGTATTTGTATTGTTTAGTATCTATAAATTTATTCTAAACACTTAATATCAATAAATACCAGGAATACTTTTTTCAGATACTATTCAAAAATCATTCCACATTTTGCATTTTTACTTGAGAGCTTGAATTTTATCATTGGTAGCAAATTCTATCACTAATTTTCCTTGAAGATACAGACATACTTCATTTTTAAGAAAGTGGGCACCAAACGTTCAAATCTGAGTAGTCATAGTTCATATGACAATCATTTATTTGGTGCAAATAAATAAGCCAGTTCAGGTCACAACTCAAACAATTACACAAGCACGTTGTCATTGTACTCTGGCATGCAGCAGAAGTACTCCATGCGTACATCTCATTTTGTCACACAGATTAAGAAAACAATGTGTGCTCAGGGTAGATTTTTAATGAAATTAATATTTTCTAGGTCTTTATCAAGGACATTCCTATGTTAAAGAATGACAGTTTTTATTGCTTTGCTCTGCTTTACTGGGAGGGAAGAATACAATGGCTAAAAAGATAGTTTTGTGCCACTGCGTGGATTAATTACAACGTGCTTGCAGTTTTACCCATCATTGCTTTGCATCACTGGGGCAAACAGCAACGTAGTAAAAAAAGACAAATAATGTTTTAATATTATTATTAAAGCAGTTTTAACTATTTGAGCCCCAGAAAGGGTATCAAGAACCCCAAAAGTTTACAGGTTCCACTATGAGAACAAATACTTTAGTGCTAACTCAGGGGGTAAGAGGTAATAAGATATTTCCATTTAAATAATAGAGAAATACTTACCAACAAATTGGCTTAAATCTAAATCTAGTCTTTTTCGATATGTGAAGTCTGGATCCATCCCATCTCTATGCAATACAATCTGAGATATACACTCATCAATTAATTTGAAGTACTGTTGCCTAAACCAAGGAAAAGAATAAGTATACACTCAATTTATTAGTGTAACTTTACATCAAAACAAAATATTTTGGTAAGCTTGATTTTAAGTTTCATAATTTACTTTGCATATTTCAACAGTTGACATAAATTCAACATGGGAATGAGAGTAAATTCCATTTCCTTATCGCTTTCATTTTAATGATTTTAAAACATTATATTTTTATAATCCTTTAGCCAATACAGTGCGCTTTAAAGATTTTCTTATAAAAGTCAGAACCTTGACATAATCAGTAAGCAGTAAAAGAAAGAATATTAAGGTAAAGTGAGATACGTGCTCAAAAGCAGTCCTCCATGAAGGTCATCAACCAACCACTGTACTATATTGAAATAGTTACCATTAATTCATTTTATTAATACAAATTTAAAAAAAAATCTTTTCTAAAATATTCTCAGGAAGGTTCTTCGAATCATATACTGAATCATATCATATCATAAATCATATACAGTATATCAGTATACTGTTTCTAGAATGCATGTGAAATCAAATTAAAAACTGATACTGTAAATTATATACAATATCCAATAAAATTTCTTACTCCAAAACAAAGCTAGAAAAATTTAGTGTTACAATTTTTGTCCAAAAATTAAAGTTTAACTAAAATGCCTAAATAGGGTTCATGTTGTCATTACAGTTCAGTCCGCTATGTGTATAATAAGCTAAAGAACATCCCTTACACTCAAGCCAACACATGCAAAAGAAAATATCTAGAAAATTTTATAAAAACCAAACTAAAGTGATAAGAAAGCATGGGCACTATTCTAATGAGATACAGTCCTCCATCCCCAGTCGCCTCCCTCTGCCCCCACCCCACCGACTTATTTCTTCCCTCAATAACTTTTTGTACAGTTTTCCTCTCTGAACCTTCCTTACCATGTAAATGGTATCCTTTTTAGTCATTTGGGTTTTCTTTCCCTATAAAATATGACCTATAGCCCTTGACCTACTTACCCTGCACCTAATAAACCATGCATATGTTCAATAAAATTTGTAACAGCTTAAGATTATCATAAAGACTAAGGCTCACTAATTGAGTAAAAATGTTCAAGATACTGTTTCAGGGTACAAAACCAAAGCAAGAAGGTATTACCAACTTCTTTCAAATAATTTCCCATTCTCTAACATTTTAGCCATAATCACATTTACACTTAAGGTACATAAGTTACACACACATTTATATCTCTCACACTTGAAGATTTAGATGATGCACTTCCATTCCTCTTTACTCATTCAATGCTATCCTAATGTTGTTCTAATAATAAAAATATTTTAAATTAACAACACAAGCTACTTATGTCACTGAAAAAATCATTTCAGTAACTATTTTCCCTCCTCTCTACTCCCAATTATGAGACCATTTATAATGTAGCTGAAATTTTGTGCAAAAAGTATTTCAGCAAGGCAGTATCAGCAAAAAATAATTTACTTCTGACTTCCAGAAATGTAAATTGAGAAAATAATCTCTATGACTGATAAGGTGAGTTAGTGAATATGTCACAGGCATATGGGAATAATATTAAGAGATGAACACAACAAATTGTCATTACTTACTGATAAAAAGCCATTTTTGAGGATTTTTAAAATCATACTCATTTTCTCTGTAATATTTTTACAGAATATGAGAAATTATCTCCCATACACATCCAACTACATGGTGTTCTGCACATGGTAAGCTAATAATTATTTGTTGCAGAATTGAATTTGATCTTCTACTCCACCTTCCAATTACCTCACTGCATTTGAATTTTCTTGGTAGGCAGGGGCTACTTTGATACGCATTCTCCAATCAAGTTCCACTGCAGTAAAATTTCCTCATGTTTCAAATGTGGAAGTGAACAAATAGTCCAATTTTATTATCTACTAATTCTTTTAAATGAGATTATTTTGCATTCTGAAATTTATTTATTTTGTTCCTAATCTATTTATTAAAAACCTAAATGATTTATGTTTATTCATATCTATAATTTAAAATGTTCACTAAACAAAATATGTTCAGATAAGAGAAGACTTCTGAAAAGTAAAATCTACGTCCATCTGAGATAGCAATACCAAAAAATGAAGGGGAGACCAACGGGATTCATAGAACTATAAACCAAAAAGAGTGAATTTTACTGTAAGTAAATAAAAAGAAATGAATGTATGAAAAAGTTTTATATAAATGGACATAATTCTGACTTAATCTTATTATAAAATTATAACCTCCTTATAAGAACAAAAAGAACGCAACAACAAGTAATGAGAATTTTAGATTATTGTGAAAAACACAGATGGAATTGTCTGGACTACAACAGTCATAGGAAGAATACTGCCTTCACATCAACCATATTTGGAACAAAGACTAAGGACCTGAGGCTGAAAGAGCCAACAAAAAAGCAGCATTAGACGTGAACCAAATTTAAAAAGTGATACTCAAAAGATGACCAAAATAATTAAGCTTCTATGCCTCACTAACATTGCTTCAGTAATGCTACCATTTAATAGTTCTCTGAAACTCTTGATCCCACTAAAGTGATTGGATTGATCCCCTGAACAGGTCCCAGGACAGCTGTGCTTTGTAATCTATTTTGAAATTACAAAACCTCTTGTCCTCCTGGAGCACAGATGAAGGGATTAAGTTCATAAGTAAGATAAAACCCCTCCCCAACCTCACCCACCTCACCCCCCATCCCAACAGCACTAGGGACACGTTCAAATTTTTAAAGCAAACATCAGTGTTGAACTCTTAAAAACTCAAACAGCTTTAAACAATTAAATGTTGACAGGACAAACCGTACAGGGAGATCAAGTAAAGGGTGGGGTTACTTCAGAGGACATGGAAGTTTCAATTTCACTTTTAAGTAAATTTGGAAGATAAATATAATATCCAAATTAGCAGGGTACCTATATTTAAAATCATGTAATTAATGTATTAGTACTTTTTATCAAGCAATTATAAAGTGGTTAAAAATTTAAACTGTTATTTTAAATAAAATATTAGAAGAAAATTAAGCATCAAAAGAGGTCACTAAACTTATATTTTACAATACCAATGGGATTCCTCAATTCTACAAAGGAAGGATATATGATGGATGATCTGTACTCATCCCAAAGAACCTAAATCTTTAACATTTTTGACTCACTCTGTTCTCATGTTAGGTACATACGAAGGCCCAAAGTATGCTCCCTGACATCATCCAGAGGACAGGGCCTGAATGATACATGTCTAGCAAATCACTCCAGTTGAAATAAGAACATGAAAAAGCTTACTAACCACAGTATTTGAGAATGCAATTTCAGTAAAGCTATATTGGTGGTCCAAAAAAAAAAAAAAAAAGAAGAAGAAGAAGGTTTTATATTCAAAGATCTCAGCTTCCCTCATAAAATAGTAATAAAAGCAAAAAGAGGATATTGAAAACATTTATAGAGCATACATCATATGCCAAGTATTTGGCTAGGAGTTTTAACTATGTTACCATATTTCCTTTTCATAGCAACCCAAGCAAGTTAGGTGCTAATATCTATATATAGTTACATATAGGTAAAATACAGACAGGATAAACAACTTGTTAATAAGTTGTCAATATGGTCAAGATGGCTAAGACATAGCCCAACTTGAAAAGTCATCTGTCTCGCTTTTCTGATACATTAGCAAAATTAAACACATCTATGTTACTAAGGCACTTTCTACCTACTTAATAAAAGCAATGTTTAAGTGCCCTTCATGTAACTTATAAAGAGAAGCTCATCATCATTCCTGCTGCCTAAGGACTAACCAGAAAACATCATCCGTCACATGACAAACTAGCAATTTGTTGCTAGTTTGCATTTTTATTCAGATGAAAAGTTGTAAACAAGAATCCATGGAAGCTTTAAAAACTAACAGTAATATTTTACCATCACCTATCTAAATATATGCCCAGAGGAAATGCCACATTCTGTGAATCAGCATTATGACAAAAATAAAAATCTTAAAATTACTTGCTTGCCCAAATCAAAATCAGGTGAATTTCAAAATTAATAAAATTTTATCAGTGAAAGAAAACATTAGAATATAGCTTCCTCTTACCTTATAAAACCATCATTTCGAATCAGTAAAAGATGCTGAAGAATAGAAATAAAGTATTTCTCTGCTCTAGTTTCCTTAACTGTGCTCCACACCATGTTGTAAACATCATATGCATCAGTAAATTGATTAAGGAATATGTAGATTCATTTATCCTCTACACTGAACTAAAATAATGACATAGAATCTGCTCTGTAAGACTTCTAAAGACTAGTGTGTCTTACCCTAAAACAAGCATCATTCTATTCAACATGTGATCAAAAACAGGTAGTTAGAACTGAGAGTAGAGGGAAAGTTGTATGCAAATGATGCCCTGACACTTCTTGTCTTCTCCTCTAACTTCAACCAGTCTCCCTCTCTAGAGCTAAGATGCTGATGGCAGACAGTGCACTGGGCAGCTGCATTGGGTTCTGGGAATGTCCTGAACCAAGAGAGCATTATCTATCAGGGAGAAGCCCCATTGGAGGACTGGAACCTGACAGGTCTCTGAAGAAGCACAGACATCTGCAGGGCCACATCATTAACAAAAGCTTGTATGAGTATATACCAGGGCATAAGGCAGGAGTTAACCAGGAGGCTAAGGTCTCCTAATTCCTACTGCCGGAAAGCATGTGGGGAGCGGGAGGTAGCAAACATAAAAAGACAAAAAGAACAGAATATGCACACACATAAGACACCGGTCTAACAGAATTCATTTGTAGGTTGTAACATCTGTTTCCTTATGTGTATTTTTATAAAAATCACACATTAACTAATAAAATAAGAAAAGTTTATATAATTACCCTTTGCGTTCATAAAGGTTTGATTTTATATTATGAATATAGAAATGGCTTCAGGAGTTTAATATTTTATGCGAAGGAGGTTTGTTGGTTGAGTTTAACAGTAATTTTATATATCTGTCTAGATTTTAGAACAAAAGGATATTCAAGTTCAGCTCTAATATCTTCCAGGCGATGAGACAACTCAATCAAGTCTTCTTCCTTATGCTCATCAAAAACTTTAAGTTGGATATCCAGGCCATCATTCTTAATGCATTTTAAATTCTAGAAATAATAGAAATTATAATAAAATTTTTCCATAATGCAAAAATAAAAATAAAAATATAAACAATAAACCAATCACTCAACTTGATTTATAGCATTTAAACATTTAAAGTGTTAAATACTCAAAAATTTTATCATCTAGATTTAAAAACAGATTTTAATATTCAAGCCTTTTCTCCCCACAGATAAATTATTCTTGAAGGTAATTTATCTAAATTTCCCCCTACTCAAGTACTCCTCTAATTTAAATATTAATAAGGAGACTGCAGGGCACTTACTGGCAGTATCTCTTTCAATCCACAACGCATAAATTCATTTCTGATGTGAAGCCTGAAGTCCAGATCATCAGGAGATGTAATAAGGGCATTGATGAGCTGCATACATGCTACCTACAATAAATTACACAGCCAGGCTTAGACTTGGATTCAACATTTAAAAAGGGGGATAGTAGAAATGAAACTTCAAGGCTTAGCTTCAAGTATTATCAAATATCTTCCTTCACAAGAGAGTCTATTAAAACAAAAATTCTTAAGTAAACTATTTTAATCAACTATAAGTTATATAAAAATTACAGTTTCAGTGGAGTCTTTACTTTTCAAGCAGTCAGAGGTTCCTGTGGGCAAAGAGAAGTGGAGATGTTAGGCATTTGTCACTGGTCCATAAAAACATTTACTCTAACCAAAAGTTAGAGTAAATCTTGTCCAGAAATATCATTTCATACACATAAACCACACACTGAACACATCCTAGTTGACAAACTATTAATCTCTAATAGATGGCCAACACACAAAATAGGAAAATAAAATAATTTTCCATTCATCAAGAGAAATCCAAAGTCCCAAAGACTTCAAAGTCAACAAGTATCCTAAGTCAACAAGTATCCTGAATCTGGTTAATGGGGTTGTTATAACCAGCAGCTATACTACGAATGCTACACAATTAATTACTAGCAGTTAATTTAATAGGCAATAGTTCTTAGCTTTGGCAAAAATCCAAAATCATTTTATGTTATGACAAATGCATAAAGAAATAATAGAACTATATTATTTATTTATTATTTAGTATATACTTTAAATAATAAAAATTAAAACTCGCTCTATTTTTTCAGTTTAACTCCCCAACTTTCAACCTCTCCATTTTTTTTTTACCCTGGCCTGAAATACATCACTCATCATCTAAAATCCATGTAATGGAAGCAAGAGAGACTGTCTCCAGAGAAGCAAAAGTATTCTTTGCTGCTGCTGTTATTTTTCTAAGTCTGCAGTCTACCAAAATCTAGCAAGAATGATGGGCCTTCTGATCAATGTTTAAGCTCATGCTGTTCCCTAAACTGTCCTTTCTCCATCCCTTAAGGCAAGTTATATATGAATTTAAAATGTCATTTTTAGGTTAAGACACCAGTAGGGGGTCTCAGTCCCTGTTGGTTGAAATATATAGTAATTGTTGTATTCTGTTGGTTGAAATATATAGTAATTGTTGTATTTTATATCTAAATGCTGAAATCTGACCAGCATCCTTCTACTGTCAAAATTTAAGGCTGTTTAAATTGAGGATGAGAAATGTGCCAGCAGAGAGGGTAAAGAAAAACATTTTTTAAAAAAAGGAAAAACTGAAAAAAGAGTCAATCTTTCCTGCACACATTTACTGAACTGTAACCGGTTCATGTCAAAAAGTCAAGTTTAAAATGCTTTCTTTCCACTTCCTTTCCAGTCATTACCTAGTACCCACAAATATTTTTCTCAGCAATACTACATAATTTTAAAAGATACCAAAGAGTACATAAATAATGTTTCTGTGCATTCAGAGACATTAAATCAGTCTTATTCACCAAGTTTCTGGAAAAAATGTAAATTAAAGACCACTCAAACAGAGCCACAAAAATTAGTAACAAAAATTAGCAGCAAATCACCTAAATGGAAAGTAAATATGTGTAGAGAAATAATAGCATGAAAATGAGGAGAAAAAAGAGAAAAGGTTAATCCAAAGTATTTCCAGCTAACACTCTAAAAGACAATTCACCATAACAGGAAAAATAGAAAACTTAAGTTGACTTAAGTTGAAATGATGAATTTAGTTCTATAAAATATCCTTCCCAATGCAAATAATAATTTGTCGTCGTGACCTAGAGCCACTCTTTGATTAATTTATACTGTCTATGTTAATTATGCAGAGGTCTATGAATATATACAAACCTATTGCGAAATGTATTTTTCCTTACAGATAAATCAAGCTAAAACTAAGGACTGAGTTTCTTCTACATTTTTAACACATATACTATTGTACCGCATAATTTCACACTAATACAACACACCAACAGAAGTGGGTGCCAAATCAATTCCACGAGACACTAAAAAAGTTTCATGAACTATAACAATAAACAGACATTTTGCCTGAACAAATGAAGGTAAATAGGTACAATGATTAAAACTATACTATATATTATGAGAGACATGTTTGGTATATAATGGGAATATGTAAACACTAAATAAAAACAAAGACACCTTAGTATTGGTAGAGACTCCTAGGGATAATAGTAAGGCAGCCTGATGAAGAGGAGGACTCAGATGTTGCAAGCACAGGAATTAACATGTTCAAAGATATGGGCTCTTCTGTTGAATTACAAGGAATTCAGATTTCCTAAGTAGTTGCCAGGGTGGGAAGGAGGAGAACAGGGGAGAAGTCAATGAAGATGAGGCTGAACAAAGTGACAAAGTAGATTAGCACCGGATGCAGCCAGTAGTAGTGACTATTATAAAGGATTTTATGCAAAGAAAAGTCAACAACAGAAGCAACAGACACAAGAACGTATTGTAGAAGTAAGTTTGATGAGCAATACGGGAGAGCTTGAACATATAAAGAAGAGAAAATATAAAGAAGAAAAACAGATACAGCGTAATGGCTGGGTGACAGGGGTTGAAGAAGAGGAAAAGAATTCACAAGAGTCCTGCCGCCTTTGTTATTCAAGCAGACAGGAGGTGGTACCATTAGCAGACATGTAAAATGCAAGGACAGAAACAAGTTTTACAGGGGAATAGAATAAGTCCCACTTTTAAAATTGTGAGGTTGAAACTGAACAATTAGGAATCTCTCATTCATTAACAAAAAATAGTTACTGAGTACCTAGCCTATGTCACCTGGGGATATTAACAGAAACTCAAGGAAATAATAAGTGAGATGTTCTTCATAAAGAATTAATCACCATGCTCTGCTTGATGTTCCAAAAATGTGGCATATGATCTCCATTAATTTGCATTACACCATACTAATTGCTTTAGTAGCAGCTCTGGAACTGAGAAAAGTAAGAAAACAAGGAGTTTCTGTCCTCTGGGGAGCATCCTAAGTTAACTAAAGAATCTATCTTTGGTCATCAGTATACTTTCTGTTTCATTAGTTGATATAATTCATTCCTTTCAAAGCCTATTTATTGGTGCTTACTATGTATCAGACAGGGTTCTGTGTGCTAGGGATACAGCTATAAGAAAAAAAAGAGAGAAATCACTGTGAGAGAGAGAAAGAGCAGTCAAGATTTGAATCCCCGTTTTTGGGCCCAGGCAAGTCAAAGAATAAACTGTCATTTATTTGGATGAGAAATGGACTTGGGAAGAAAGATCAGGAATTCATTTTTGAAAATGTTAAGTTGGAAGTATCTATTAGTGATCATTATCGAAAAAAGTGGGGAAAAAGTTGGATATAGGAGACTCCAGTTCAAGAAAGAGATTACCTTAGTGAAATGGGGTGCAAAGCAGAAAGGATCTCAATATAAAGCTTGTTCCCTTACAGCCATTGGTTGGGGGATGGGGGAAGCAGGCCACAGGGCAGTGAAGACACTTTTTATAACAATGGCAAGCTGATGGCTAGCTACTAGCCGTGCTACCACTCTGGGGTAAAGGGTATGTATGTGACTTCCACAACATCTGGTGACTCGTGACATGGGGGTGGTTGATATGGGAAACGGTTCCCTCTATGTCACTGAATCACTCTTGCTCGGACTAAACGTGGCAGCCAAGTGAATGTAAACAATATGGGAAACTGGCAAATGTGGCTCACTGTGGGAGGAGCCACATAGGAGGTCATGCAGGAAGCTCCAGGTCAGGATTTAAACTAAGGGCGGGCAGAGAGAAGAGGCTGGTCTACCATGAGGGCTGAGAAAGTAGGCAGCAGCCATGCTGGTCTGTAGTAGAAAGGGCAGCCCTGCAAGGGAGATTCAGCCATGCTGCTGGTAGTGAGATAGGAGCCAGGTAGGCAGAGTGAGTGTAGAGGAGAAGGAGCCATGACGTAGCAGCTGGGCAGTGTGTAGTCAGGATTTGGCCAGGCGGCCTGGTATAGTAAGGGACAGGACAGAATGCTGCTGCTCTGACAGTGCCTGTCCGTGCTGACTCAGAAGCCGCTCAAGGACTCTGCCTTTCAAGATGCTGACTCTTAGGACTCAGGACATACAGAAAAGCCACTCTCTTGGGACCTGTGCCTTTCCTGGATTTCTCCATGATCCAGTGTAGCACGGCACATGTATTCATGGACTAGAACATGGAAGCTGAGGACAACATACCCTACATCCAGAAGGAGAGAGCTGCTGTGATAGGACGGTGACTTTGAAGCCCACAAGTGTACTTTCCAGAGAGGATGGAGATCTGCTTGTACAGCCGGCTTAAGCACAGATAAGGATACAGGGAACTATCAGGCTTGGTTTTTGCTTTTAGCCTTTACCCTTTTGTAGTACAGGGGAAGTACGGGGTTTCATGGGAGCACAAGGCTCTGAACAGAAGTGCTCATGGCCCCCCCAAGTTTTCACCCCAGTAAATAAAAACCTGTTTCTCCCCACACTAATTATTGGGTCATGCACGAAGGCACTATGTGAGCAGGCCCGTTTGCTCGGTTACAACTGCAACAGAATGAAAACACCAAGAGGTTAGATGGATCATCTATGAGGTAGTAGAGAGAGAACAAAAAAGGACACAGGATAACTGATAGGGGCAATTCAATTGTAGGTTTCAAATTGTAGGTTGAGGAAATATAAATAAATAAAGTATCTTTTTAAAAAAAAAGATACACCAACAGGTGTGGCGACTGAGTGCCAGACACGAGGCTTGCCTAATTTTTTTCACAGGCCACCAGGGCAGATGCTTTCTCCATGATTGCGCTAAAGGAACTGAGATGATACCTAACAAACAGCAAAGCAAGTACACTTTAGAAAGCCCACTCTTTAGTCAACTTGTTCATCCTGAATCTAAGTAGATGTTCTTACAAGTAAAATGATGGCTCTACTATATGAAAAACATATCAGCCACAGAAGCTAAATCTACACTGGAAACAAGTATCAGTCAAGTGCTTAAATAAAAATTCTATCACAGTCTGTGAATAATACTTATTATCTGGGCATGAAAGATACTAC